TCATCACTTCTTATCTAAAATAGTTTATACTCTTTTTTTTCATTTTTTTTCCGCTATCATCTTTTAGCCCTTCTTTTATCTTAATATTCTATAATTTTTATTTGGAAGGGTTAATTAATTAATTGCATGAGGAATATATATAATACATATATATATTTATATGAAGAAGAAGGTGATGGTATAATTAATGTGAAATTTGGGAATTGGGATGAGAAGAATTACATTGTCATTGTAAAGGAATCTCTATGCCCTAATTAGGCCTCGAATTTGAATGCCGATCAGTGTACACGAGATCGGCATTCTATTTATCCGAGGCATTTAATGACATGCAAAGTTGATATATTTGTTTAGGCAGCATTTGAATACCCTGTTTTGGGTTGTCTTTGTTTTCTCTTTTCCTTATTCTTCCTTTGTTATTGTTTGCTCCATTGCCGGAATGAGTTTCGGGGTTGGATCAGGATCTTCTTATCATTCCGGAAATGGAGTTGGAGTTGGAGTTGGAAGCCCTCTGCAGCGTTCTTCCAGTAACAAAGGAGGATTTTTAGGTTCATCGGCTAATGAGCGACCGGCTCACCAAGTTGATTATGTAGAGAAAGACCCCAAGGGTCGATATGTTCGGGTAATCCACTCTACTTTTTGCTACTACTTCTTCATTGAGATTTTCAATACTATTACTCTATTAGAATGAAAATGCATATTCATTTCTTATTTAGTTGGTTTGGATATTTGGTCCTCTAATTTCCATAATTGTTAAACCATAAAGCATAATTAGCAATCTCAAGTATTCCTGATTTGCTGTTTTATGATCACAAAAAGGAATGTCTGAGCATGCCCTTACTCTTAGTTCAATCCCTCCCGTGCCTGTGAATTAAAGAAAGGAGGAGTTCAGTCAAAAAGAAAGAAAGAGATAGATAGATAGATATTAATTAGTCAAATGTCCAACTGATCACCCTGAGTAGTTTACCGCACAAATTGAGTTGTCGTGACAATACCTTTCAACAACATGTTCATCTGCACCTGAAAAGGACCAACCTCTTTGTTTGAAGCTTTGCCAGGAAGCTTCTACTTTCGGTGAGCAAGAGCTTATTTCATTGTTGCTTCTTCAACAACAGATTTCATCTAGGTGAAAGATACAAAAACACTATCTTCATGTTGCTTCTTGATTAACACAGAAAACTTCTTTTGAACTTAAATCCCTTTTTTCATAGCATTCGTAACACTCCAACAGCTGTGACATCTTTTTTTCTGTGGATGAAGAATAAAGGCCTAGAAAGAGGCCAGCTTCAGCTCAAATCGATTTGAAGATATATTTAATCAAATAGAAAAATCTTGGCAGCCAGATAACAAACTACCCAAACTGCCTGCTCAAGACCATGCTACTCAAACAAAAATATATTGGACTTTCCAAATTGCAAACTCCTTAGTCATCCTGCTTCCTAAATTTGGTTTTGGGAGGTGGGGTTTGTGCGAAAAGAAGAGACTAATCGAGAGAGGATACTTCTAAAAAGGGTACAGAAGAAAAGGATCTGAAAATACTGGTTTATGTTGATTCCTGCTGATATGGGGATTTGAGTAGTAAGTCCAATTCAACTGCATTAGAGTGCTGAGTTTATGCTAATCCAAAGTATCTTTTTCTTTTTGCTGAATCACCAAATGGGATGATACTGTGAAATTTCAAGTTCCAAATTCAATATATAATTTTCTTAATAATAGAACATTAATCAAGGCACAAGTGAAACTCTCTGTCGTATTGAGATAGCTGTGAAAAGGAAAAGAAGGAAGGAGTATGAGATTCTCATGTTTGCTTGAGGCTGAATTCTAGTTCTTTAGCAACTTAAATAGCCTTTTCGCTTCCAAACAGAAGATTTAAGAAGTCTGAATATTAACACAAAATTGGAACATTATGCTGTTTAGCATGAAACTCAAGAGTATTATTTCACTGACAATCATTTATATCACCTGCTTGTGTTTCCTCTACAGTACAGTGAAGTGTTGGGCAAGGGAGCATTCAAAACTGTGTATGTTCCAAAACCTTATTGCTGATTTTTATTGTTCCTTTCTATAGTACTAATTGTGTATTCAGAGCATAAAGCATTTTGTCTTTTTTATTAAAAATTGTGTTTCAGCTACAAGGCGTTTGACTTACTTGATGGTATTGAAGTTGCATGGAGCCGAGTGAAAGTTGAGGATGTTTTGCAGTCGCCTGACGATTTGGGAAAGTTGTATGCGGAGATTCATATTCTTAAACAATTGAAGCATGACAATATAATGAAGTTCTGTGATTCATGGGTTGATGACAAGAAGAGAACAGTTAACATGATCACTGAACTCTTCACATCTGGGAACCTGAGGCAGTGAGTTTCTCATAGTATCTCATTTTCTTTACTTACAAATTGTGTTCTCCTACAATAACTATGTGAGTTGTAATTTTCAGATACCGTAAGAAGTATAGAAGTGTTGATATGAAGGCAATAAAGACTTGGGCAAGGCAGATACTTCAAGGGTTAGACTATCTCCATAGTCAGAACCCTCCTATCATCCACAGGGATTTGAAATGTGACAACATATTTGTCAATGGAAATCATGGAGAAATTAAGATTGGGGACCTTGGATTGGCTACCATTATGGAGCAGCCTACTGTTAAGAGTGTTATTGGTATGGGTATTTCTTGTATTAATATGCTTTGGAATAATGTCCCCTCTTCTTAAACGCTGACTACATCTATTGCTCTGAAGGGACCCCGGAATTTATGGCCCCGGAGCTTTACGAAGAAGAATACAATGAACTAGTAGACATATATTCCTTTGGAATGTGTATGTTGGAATTAGTAACCTTTGAATATCCTTACAATGAATGCAAAAATCCTGCTCAAATATTTAAGAAAGTTAGCTCGGTAAGTTTGATGAAGTTGCTTCTTTACTCTGTTTAGTCATTACATGTTTCTGTAAAACTAAGAATCTTCATTCTCAGGGTGTTAAACCTGCTTCCCTCGGCAAAGTTACTGACCCCCAAATCAAAGGTTTCATCGAGAAATGCCTGGTTCCTGCTTCTCAGAGGTTGCCTGCCAAGGACCTTCTCAAAGATCCCTTTCTTCAATTTGAGAATTCAAACGGGCCAATCCATAGTCTGTTGCAATCACCTTACCAAAGTCCAAGATCATTAAGTTCATTGAAATCTGCACCTCATTCGATGGATGTAGATTCCGATTGTAACCAATCAGTATGTACAGACTCCCATTGTGGAAGTCCTTGTGCTCCGACATTGGAGTTCCAGAGGTTTCATCAGAATAATGAATTTAAATTGACGGGTAAGAAGAATGATGAGAACTCAGTTTCATTGACCTTGCGGATTAAAAGCCCTTTGGGTATGTAGATGCATTCCAATTGTTTATTGTTTTTATTTGCTTGGCCTTTTGGAATCAGATGGCTCTTGTTTATCTAAAGGCTTAAAAATTTGCAGGCAGAGTAAGGAATATACACTTCAATTTCTATCTCTATACGGACACTGCACTCTTAGTTGCGGCTGAGATGGTTGATCAATTGAAACTAGATGATCATGATGTAGATTTCATTGCCGACTTCATTGACTATCTAATAATGAAAATTGTGCCTAGTTGGAAGCCTTCAGATTATCATTCTAGTGGAGGGAGAAGTCAAAGAGAAGAGGCTCTACAGAACTACCTAACCTTGTCTCCCTTACCTACCACATCCAATGCTCGACAAGATCATATTCCAGTTCTCGATATGAATAACCAAATTAGCAGCACTTCTCATCAAGTTGATGAAGATAAACTGTATGCTAATTCAAATGGAACTTCTTGTCGTGTTACTTTTGCTTCCCCTTCACATTTGGCAAGTGTGATGGATGGAGAGTCTGTTACTTCTGAAGTTATGGGAAAGATTTCATCTCTAAAAAATTCATTTGGATTTGGCGATTACTTCACATGTGCAGAAGTAATCTCTAAAGGTTCTAGTGGAAACTTATCGGAGGTGGATTTCATGGGCTTGTTTCACGATGAATGCAAGTCACAGGGAAATGGTGGCGATTATTTAGAATGCACGTTAACAAATGGATTTGGAAAGAATCTGGAGGTGACCCTGACAGATACAAATAGAGCTTCTAAATGCATGAGTTTATCAAGCAACTGTTCATTTTTATCGTTAGTATCGAAAGATGAGGAGAGTGAGTTAAAATTGGAGCTTGACTCAATTGAATCAGTATATCGACAATGCTATCAAGAACTCTCAAGAATGAAGCTGGAGGCATTAGAAGCTTGCAGGAAGAGATGGATCACAAAGAAAAAGTTGGCTTGTAATTAATTGAAGGAGAATAGCTGACAACAATTCATTCTTCTTTCTTTTTTTTTTTAATCTTTTCTTAATTTCTGATCACATATTTGAATCCGTGATGGATTTTGGTATATCATTTTTTCAGACTTATCTTCCTTCATACCCCTTTATTTGTGTGGGTGAAGATTATATGTACTTTGTATAAAGTGTGTATATAGTCGTTTAGTTTTGCTGGTTTTTAGCCTTTTTAAAACTATTCTTCTTTGGCCATGGCTAGGCAAATGTTTTTGAATAATTGACTTGTAATATATGTTCATCATCCACTTCTTTTTCCATACAAAACTACTTATTAAATTGAATGTAAGTATCCACAATAATTGTGTAATATTTTATGCTAAATAACGAAGATGGTATGATTGTGTTATATTTTAAACCATATGAGAGGTATTTATTACAAGTTGTAACTTCAAGGGAAGTTTGTGAAATTGTTTCAAAATATAAATAAATATGCAAAAAAGAATTATTAAAATTTCGAGGTAAGATTTAATTTTACAGTAGATAATTACGATTAACTCGATTAGTTAGAATCGAGATTCAAGCATATCCTTTTAGGTATTCAAATCCATTTATTCTTCTCACTCTTAAATGCAATTGTATATATATAAGGTTGATTATTTTTCCCTTATAACTAAATCATAGAAGTTTTGTCAGATGGATAAATCAGTTGGATTACGAGGGTATTGCTGCTTCAATTGCCGGAATATTGTAGCAGATCATAATGATATCATTAACAAGGAATTTTTAGTTAAGTACATTCTTCTTTTATTTGCAATATATGTTGGTTTGCTTTCAAAATACTACCTTGATATGCAGATCTCATTTAGTTGTTTGATTTTGTTTTTATGATATATAGGGCATACATGAAAAGGGTAGAGGACGAGCATTTCTATTTTCTCATGCCATCAATGTTGTTGAGGAGCCTCCATATTACATCATAATGATAACTGGTCCTCATGTGGTGTCTGATATTTTATGTGCTGAATGTGGCAAGAATTTGGGCTGGAAATACCAGAGAAGTTTTCGTGAAGTGAATAAGTACAAGGAAGGCAAAATTGTCTTGGTCAAGTACAACATCATCAAGGTTTAGGTTATTCATCCTCATTTCAATGATATGAATCTAAATTGGTTACTTTTAGATAATGCTTAGTCCATTATCATGTTTAAAATTTTGAACTTTGACATTCATTCATTATTAAGTTATATATGCACTAGATTTTGGGTCAATTTGAGATGCTCCATATGGTTTTATTTTAAAGTCTATGAGGGGGGTTATAACCCCAATTAGACTTGGATATAGAGAAATGGAAATCATTAACAATGACCCTTTGTATGAACAAAATTGACAAGGGAAGTTAAATAGTACCAGTAATTGACAATTGAACAAAAACTTGACTCCCTCAACTTGGGCGTGAAAAATATCCTCTTTGCCTTGACTAGTGAGGAAAAATCCAACAAGTTTTTCTGTACAGACTGTAAGCTTCAATTCCAACAAATATTGTGGGAGCAAAAATGACTTTAAAATGAAAAGATAGCTATAGGAAGCTTCAAAGGAGGACAAGTACAAAAACAAACTAAGGAAAAATCATTGTAACAAGTTTGACATCACTTAAAAAGGGATATTTTTAGTTCAACTTTCTAAGTACCCTGAGCTGGTAAATATCAGACTTAGCCCAGCGATAATGCAAGAAGCTGAGTTATGGCTTGAAAAAGCACTCCAACAACAGTTCTTGGCACACCTGAGCGGAGACGCTGATATTGTTTGAATGGGTGCTGAAACCAAACAACCCAGATTATAATATCGGATTTACTCTCTGAAACATGAACTTAAATATTCATTTCCATCGGATCAGTGTATGTCTAGAAAATGATGGCATTGGTATGATTTTTCTGTTTACATTCTTTCAGTACAAATTGTACTAGAACGTTACTTTGATGCTGCACAACCCATTTTGAAGTTGGGGCAACAATCAAAACGACCAATAGAAAAGGCATTATAAACAGCAGACATCAGTCGGCGCACAATGCTATATCGTCCAATTTGTGCTGAATGTCATAAGCTAAAAAGTACGTTCTTACATGTGTTTCTTTTCATTCAGTCAGGAATACGTGCAAACTGCTATAAAAAAAAAAAAAAAGCAGAGGCAAGGATTCCACCATGAAAATGTTTCTCAACACCCAAATTGAACTGCCTAACTCTCTAAAGTTTAAGAAACAATCCATTGCAATCATACAGCATCTATTTATATTACGATACCAGAAAGGAGTAGTGATCTTCATCTGATAAAGTACTTGCTTCAAGTTCTTACCTCCGAACAGGAAACCTGTTGAAGTTATGGAGGAAAAAGAAAGTAAACAAAAGCTCTCCAATTTATTTTTGATAAAGTAAAAAGTGAACAAAAGCTCCCCACTTGCAGCAAATTATAGAACTTCCTAAACAGTCTCTACATTCAAATAGTAAAATGAAATTTTCTGTCAGCCACTACGAATCTACCTGCGGTAACTTCCATACTCGGGACTCCTGTACCGATCATAAGATGAACCATTGTATTTGTCATATGCGGGGATACCAGGGCGACCATAATCAGGACTAGGTCGACCCCTGCGATACATTGGGCTTGGTGACCTTCGGTAAGGACTATCACCATGCCTGATATAGTCTCTTCTAGGGCTATCATACCTGTCACCCCTCTCACCATCATCCCTCAAAGCATACTCTACAGAAACAACTCTGTCGAGGATCTCACTGCAAATGCCAAAAACTCACTTCTTGTCAACAAGAAAAATAGCACAAAGTAGACATGAAATTGCAATATAAACAAACAGAAGAAAATGCAGTGACAACCTCATGTGTGTACACTCCAAGGCTTTTGAGGCATCTTCCAGATTTTCAAATTGCACAAACGCAAAATTTCGGCGTATTCGAACATTAAGGATCTTTCCATACGGTTCAAAATGCCTCTCTATGTCACGCACCCTAGTGCGAATAGGGTCAAAATTAATGACAAACAAAGATCTTGTTGGTCTTTGGTTTGCTGAAACCTTGGAATCATCACGAGGTTGAACACGGTCACCCTGCCGAAACAAGATACAAACCATAGTTCTTACAGAAACTGTTGACTACAACTTCAATCCTATTGTCTCTTGGAGAAGGTGATGACATTTACCGAATTTGAGAAGAAAAGAGTGCAAGGAAAATACCTTTGCCCATTCTACTGATAACCGGCGCTTGTCATACCCAAATGGCATGTTATCAAGACAACGGATGGCATCAGCTGCATCACGCTCATCCTCAAAGTAGACAAACGCAAAGCCTGTAGTTGTTAAGACACCATTATAAGTTCAACAAAAAGCAAGACAAGAAAGTTTGAAATCTTTTGAGCAAAGTGTACATCACTAAATCAAAGCCCTCGTCCCAATAGGAAATAAAGAAGTACAACACCTGCAAGTATGTGAAGGCCTGATGAAAGTAAGGAGAGAGAGAGGCCTTGCATGAATAAAATCATGATGATGATGAAGTCTTATTAAAGGTTTAAATCCAAGAAGTCAAGCCTGAGTAGTCATTGCTAAGCATGCTTCACCAATTTCACAGCATGATTCAGAATTTGGAGGCAAGGCATGATAGAATTCATTGATCCGCTTATTAATAGTGGTAGGCATGGCATGAAGAACAGATAGATCCCACCACAGCCATTCTTCGAAAATGGCTACATGGGCAATGAAGTGAATGACAGAAGATTGATCTAAGAAATGCAGAATGATTCCATCATTGAGGAGTACAGGAAGACAGATAGGTTGCCTTGCAATAGAAGTTTTTGCAAGTGTTGAGCCATGATACAAGCTCTTATTCCTTAGGAGATGTTCCTGCGTCAAAAGAAACACTTAAATATGAAATCCTTCGAATGAATTTCACATTTGGCTCCCCACCATGTCTTACCAGGTCCTGTGTGCACATACATAGCTACAACAAAGTAGCTATGTACCAAAGCAATTACATTTAAGCAGAATATCACAATCGTGTATCCAAGAAAAGAACACTATACTCATATATTGGGAAAGAAGGATCAGCACGATAATATGAATGAAGCTATTAATCAATAACCCCGGTAGTACTCGTGCCAAACTGATTGGGGTCAGATATATGAAACCTGGGCAGGACATGGATTACTTATCCTAATTGGGACTATGTTTACACTGGTGACTAGTGACTACCAGCCTACTCCTTTTACACAAATTGGCTGTGGCGTTCAAAAAACAAAAAGAAAACATTAATAGCTCCAGAAAGGTCAACACTGCCTGTATTTGAAAAACAAGTGTCCTGACATTAAAGAATCGTGTAACTCTTACAACTGAAAATATAGTAACCTAATGAATTTTAATTTGCAACACCATTGCATGAATAAAGCTAATTTAGGGTGTTATTTTCTTGCAACTCTGTTTTAAACATTACCATTACCAAACAAAAGTAACACACCTAAAGAACACCCATCTCCCCAAAAACCCTCCAGGAAGAATGCTACAAAGAATGAGGCTCCAACAGAAAACACTAGTTAGATCTATGCACTGTGAAAAAATGAAACTAAATACAAAGTAACCTACGCATAAATCCCCTACTCATATGTGCCCTCTTTGATGAATTTATCATCTCAATTTTTTATACAGTTTCCTCTAGCAATTATTTCTGTATTTATCTTTTATTAGTCATATATATCATCAAGAATAAATGCATTAAGAATCCAACACAATTTAATCTTAACCCTTCAAATGAACATAATCAATCAAGCAATCAACTCCGCCTCAAAGGAACAACAGTAGAATAACAAAATTAACAAAATCAACAAAGAAGAAGGGGAAAAAAATACAAAAGGGTTACCAGATTTCATGTCAAGACGCTCGATCCTTCCATACTTGGAGAACAATCGCTCCAGTTCTGGTTGACGTATATCATACTCGATATTCCCCACGAATAAAGGCCTCATCTTCGACACCAAACTATTGTTTACCTGAAAAGTTAATCAATAACACTGTAAATGGGGATTTGTGTACAAGCAAAAGAAAAATTCCTTAATATCAATCAATGAATTACATGTCAATTCCAACAATTGAATTACTATTTGGCAATTTCGCTTCATACAACCGATTTCAAGTAGAGATTAGGGTTAAGGGGTACGAAAATATTTACCTGCAAATCCTTAGAACTCAAAGAAAATCATTCGTCTTCCAGAAAAGTTCTACGGGACCGAAACAGCTTAAATGTTACTTTTGGGCGTATTTCTAGCCTGCGGGTGGACTAAAGCCCCCTTCATTGGAAATTGAAAAAAAAAATAGTATATAGTGTCAAAAACTAATAAATTAAATTAAATACTATAATTATATTTTGATTTTGATTTTATTATGCCCTAAAACAAATTGTTTGTCAGTATCTCTTTTTCTCAAATTCTTTCTCGCTACTCTCACTCTTTCGCTCTCTCTCTCACACACACTTTTATGCAAACATAAATGTATAAAATGTGTTTGTGTTTCTATAAAGCGAGAAAAATTATATATATATACATATATTTTCGTTTCCATCTTCATGATCTCGCTTACCACCCTCGCTTCTATCACTTATACAAACAGAAACGAAATGTATAAATTGTGTTTCTGTTTGTATAAAGCGAGAAAAATTGTATATACACATGCAAGTACATATATCTTCGTCCTATACACTTATAGATACAAATATTTCACTGTCCAATTTTTATTTTTTTGTCTTTCTCTCTTTTTCGTTTTATAAATTCACAAATTATATAATTGATTTGTATACAACTGTTTTCTTTTGTATATGTATAGTGAATTATACATTGATTTCTTTGTATATGTATAGCGAATTATACATATTTATGTTTGCTATGGAGCGTAATTATGCAAACTTTGATATAACATATAACTATAGATTTTGTGTTTGTTATATGAAAGTTGCTCTTAGAAAAATCAAGTCGGATACACTTAATAAAATTAGATTTATATGTAATTAAAATTGATCTACAAAATATTTTTATTTTATTTTGATTTGTTATATATAGTTATAATAAATTATTAGATAATTAAACAAGCCATAAAATTAAAACTTAAAAGTAGAAGAATTGGAAAGTTGGGTTATGATCTATTGACATGTTTGTTAGCTTATTTGTCCAACACATTTATTAAACAAGTTCCAAATTTATTTCAACTACCTATTTGACATTTTCAAGTCGTATAATTTTTGTCATTGTTTTTAAATAATTTTGCAAAAATAAATATAGCCAACATAACTTTTATCTTCAGGCTCTCCTTCTTCTTTCTTCTCCTTTTTCTTGATAATATTTTAATGTTTTTATGAAAATATTGTCTTTGCTTAAAACTTGCAGTATTTTATGATAAAAGCTAAGTAATTATGAGGTTCTAGGTTCTTATTAGGGAAAACAAATGATAAGCACAAGGATTAATTTCATTAATTGTAACTAAGCTTATTGTTTATAATAAGTATTAATTAAATTGAAGTCACAAAAACTCTCCTTTTCTTATACTACTCATTAGGGGTTATTTAGTTGGTAATAAGCTATCTCATAAGTAATTATAAATCGGAATAACTTATCCCAACATGTATATGGAATAACTTATTTCATTATTATGATAGAAAATAATATATGGTGAGATAAATTATCTTAAACTTACGACCAAACATAACACCAAAATTCTATCCCTTGACTATTTTTTATGCCAAAATTATTTATTTTTATCTCTTGTATCAGATGATTTCATACTTTATTACTATATATATATATATATGTATATATATATATATAATATACATGTAAGCCATTTTATATTTAGTTGGATAAAATTTTGTATTTTGATTATTCTTAAACTCCAATCTATTGTTTCTATAACCAGTCTTGTCATTTTCACTTAGCCGTTAGCTTTCTCGTGTGAGAAGAATTTGCAAGGTTTAACTGTCCTTGACTTCTTTGTCACTCACTTGCAGTCTTGTACATCACTCAATAATAACATCCACACAAAAATGCTACTCCTACATATTGTAATCAATAATTAGTCCAGAGACTTTGCCCTCTTTTTATTTATTTTTTTGCTTAATATTTGAAATTGAGTAAATTTAAATTCACACATTGTAAGACTCATTTTAGACCGATGATCTCAATAAAACTTTTTCATTTTCAAAAGCTCAAAATTTATGATTGACACTAAAGTGTTTCCAACTATTTCATTACTACTCTTATAATAATTACTGATTAAAAAATAAAATCACTCAATTTGTTATAGCTACAAAAAAAAATTAACTTTTATTATACGTACATACATAACTAATTACAGTTAAATAATCATACGATATGTAATGAATGCCTAATTGTGAGTTATTATATCAGAGGCGGAGTCTGAATCATTTTTGTTGAATAAGAGTCAATTGACTCTTCTTTATTGGAGTTACAGATAGATCATTTATTTTTTGTAGTAAACGTATTATATGTTGATTATTTTGATATATTTATTTATTTTAAAGTATTTTAATGAAAAATTGCATTATTCTCATTTTTATTAGCTAGTTTTTTTAATTAAAAGGTTTCTTCCCTTCAAATATTAGTACTCAAAATGATAAAGGTTTTGAATCTTTCTATAAATAGAAAAGTATAACTTACTCACGTTCTTGCATCATTTGTTTACAATTTTACTAAACTAAATTAGACGATAATTTTAAATATCGCTAAAAGAATGAAAAAAAAACACAAGAGAATTGCTTAGAGAGATAGTATTGTGTAGAAGTTTGTTATTTCTGGTTGATGCTTTTATATTGTTGTCCCTCTATTTATGTTACTAATTTAGAGCTAATATATAAATAATATTGTACTGTTATATAAGTATCTATATATCTACAAATAAGTCTCTACTCTAGAATACCTACAATCCTGTGTATTTTAAGGATATTATTGGATTCTTTTAGAAAACTATTTTGACCACTAATTATGCAATTATAAAGTTGTAACTTTATCTATAAATAATGTTTAAAATTACAATATTGTTATTGATCATCCTAATCATGACTCTTCTATATAATAGATTCTATAATTCCACAAAAAAAATATTTGTATTTTTCTAGAATCATCCACGAGAACAAGTCTTCCTACGTATATAACCCATATTCACAATTTTCTTGCATATGACACTTACAGTGGTGATACAGTGGCTCGTCACGTTAGTTATTAGACTGATTGTATTTCCTAAACCTAAAACCAATAGAAAACTTCACTTGCAAAGTGAACTTCGAAACTTTAATTTATAACTATAAATTGTTCATTTTTTCCATTGAACATGCTTTTTAAGAAACCTCATCGTATATGTTATCATAATTAGGATTAGTATAAAAGTGATTGAATAAATTAACTCTTTCATTCATTTTTAGCATATCAAAAGTTTTTTTTTTCTTCATATTTTACCGTTATTAATATTAATTATTTATTTTTAAAATCAAATTCTAAAACATAACACTGAACAGCGATGTGTATTATAGTATTGTATCTCTATTAATTATTATCTCGTAGAAAATGTATGGAAATTCTGAATTGAACAAATAAAAATGAGTGAAGATAATATATTGTATGAAACTATTGTGAAAATAATAACTCGCCTCTTAAACTCTTTTGATTTTTTTATTTTAATCATAAGCATCAAGCGTTATGAGTACATTTGCAAATATATTTTAGTTGATTTAACATTTTGACTTGACCCTTGTGAAAGTTGTGATCACCTTCAATGAACACCAAAAGAAATATTGGTTAGAAAAATAGTTTCATCCTTTTTCTGGTCCTTTTTTAAAGCAAGGTGAGCTTGAACACTTTGTTGTTGAAAAGAAAACAGCAAAGCGTTCTTGGCATTTGAATGAAATTTGGGATCCTTCGAAAATAATTTCTCTATCATGAATTAGATTTGCGTACACTTTATTCTTTTTAAATCTCAATTACGGAATTCTCTAAATGTGTTGTTGTTGTTCCTTTAAAAATCACAATTAACGCAAAATTACAGTATCTCAATTTTAAAATTACTACAGTAAAAATATTTTTAGCGGCAATTGATCTAACAGTAATAATTACCAAAAAATATATACTTCTAAAGTCAATTATCACATTAGATAAAATAACAACTAATCAATATCAATAATAAAATTATTATTCTTTATTAAATTTTTTTTATATATATATATAGTCGTTAAAAATTATTATTTTTTGTAATGATAATTAATATACCATACACATTTACAAAATTCATAAAACACTAAAATATTTACAAACGTCATTATTGAAGGGAAAGCAACCACTTTGAAGTAGTCATGAGTATGCTGACAAATACAAGACAACATAATTTTTTAAAAGAAAAATGATAGAAGGTGTTACAACAAACAGAACATGTCTCAATTTATTTATTCATCCAGATGAGCTACTTCAGCATTATTTTACAAAAATGCTTATCGTTGGAGAATATTGTTTGGTAAATTGATTATAAAATAAAGAAATCCTACTTATTCAAGATCCAAGAATATAATCTATTAATTAAACTAAGGCAGGTGTTATTATTATATATTAATAATAATATATCTATAATATTAGCACTAGAATATGCCATGATGCGGTTTCCCATCACGAAGTTTCCAAGAAATGGCTCAACTTGGAAAAATTTGAGCAAAAGTACCAAGTCAGTAGACTTCTAGTACTATAGTCTCAGTCTCATCTTCTTCTTTTTTCCAAAAATTGATGGATAAAGAAATGAATTCTTGGAGATTGAAATAATAATAAATTTTAAATGACGATAAATTAGATAACAAAGAAAAACATATCCCTAAAACATAACATTTTGATATGATTTAATCAATTAATCTATATATGAAAAAACTATACTAAAAAAGAAAATAAAAAACATATATAAATAATAATTTACCGCTAAAAAAAACTTTTAAATCCTTAAAGAATCATATTGTAAATATTATTACGTTGTCTACGCGAATAAATAATCTTCTATTTACAAATGTCCGAAAACTTATTTTTCAAGAGAAATATAAGTATGGACAATTCTAATTTTAATGATAGAAAATTAAGATAAATCCCAACAGCAACTAAACACAAATGGTCATTCAACTTTTATTTTATTATTATACTATAAATAATTAAATTACCACTATTTATACTTATTCAACTTGCTTAAGATTTTCACAAAGTACACCTTGCTTTTATAAAAATAAAAAAGTCTTTCTCCGTAATCGTTTCGCATTTCATCTACCTCAATTTTATTTTTATTTTTTAAAATAAAATTCATGTTACCTAAGTAAAAGGGTGTGATTGTTTAGTTATAAAAATTGTTAAAAGACTTCTCATCATAGTTAAATAAAATTGAATGTTTTTTGGTTACAAGGATTGTTTAATTACTTTTATGGTATATTAGCTAACATAAAATAGATTCTTATACCTTTATCTAATAAAATAAAAATTAAGTCGCGTGCGTTTTTCTTTACCAAACAATGAAGAGAGTCAAAAAGTAATCTTGTTGAATGGTTTTCTTATTCATGGTCTTTGCCTTTTTCCTAACCAAACAACTTTTAGAAGCTGTCCCACCATAATTTAACGGTAATTGATTAATAATAATAGATAAATTATCATTAAATATATATTTTAGTTGCAATTGACAATAGATATAATGATAATTAGTTAATATTAATAAAAAATTTAACAGTCTTTATTATTAATGTATATTTATTATTGTTAAAAAATATTTTTGTTATATTGTTATTATCTTAATCATTAGGGAGAAAAAAAAAAGAATAGAAGCCAAAACTAGTCGTCAATATGAAAACATGCTTTGCAATTGAATGACGAAAATCTATATAAATGACTTTGTTTTATTTTCTTTCTATTTTTTTTTGTTTTAGTTTAAGATAACATATTCTAGTCTTATCTAGTATATTTACAAATTTATTTCAATATTCGATATTTTCACAACATGCATCTTTTGAATATGTACACTTAACCTCATATAATTAGGACGGTTTAACTATCACTCTATAGTTTAAGACTAGCAAAAGTTTGATTGTTTGATCAATAACACCTTTTTATCCAATCAACTAGCTGCTAAGAGCCTGGGATAAAATATAATTAAGGGAAAAATGAATGAGTTATTCTTTATAACGTATTTCAATTTTCTCCGTAATTTGAAAAATATGTCAAAAATAATTTTCTTACTATGCTAGGCAAGACTTATACCTCTTATGGTCAATCCATCGATTTTAAAAGCTTGCGATATTTCTTGGAGAAAAAGTATAAGAAGTATGAACTCTCAATGTTTGTACACAAATTTTACACACTACAGATATCTGAAAAGTCAAAAAAACCAATTTAAATATGAAGTGACACTATATTTTAAACTTTATTTTGCAAATTAAAGATATTGCAAAAGTCAAATAAACCAAATTAAAGACAAAAGTGTCACTAAATGAAAAAGAAATCGAAAGACTTATTTGAGTTGGGGGTGACTCTCTATTACTTCCTCCATTTCAAATAAATTTATTTACTGCGTTTTTCTTTTTACATTATCATTTTAAAAAAATATTATTCAATTTTTAAGAAGTTACACCGCACAATCAAACTATATGCAGTCTTCAATAGCAATTATTAATAAGAGTAAAATAAGAATAACAATTTTTTTAAAAAAATTGTAAATTTAAAATAAGTATTTGTCGAAATCATTATAGATAATTTGAATTAATGGAATAATTGGAAATCCACATTAAGTTAAAGAGTAAATTTTAGGAATAATAAACATAAAAATCATATTAATGTTTCGTAATTATAGTTTTGTTATTTGCACTCAGTTTGCTATGGAGCTTCTGATTGTATAAAATCGTAGACATATAATTTGTATAAATCACAGTCGTTTGTATAAATCGGGCGTATATATTGTGTTATATAGAGTGACGAGCAAAATTAGAAGAGAGAGGAGAGAGGCGAGCGCGAGAAGGCAAATGGTGGAGAGAGGTGAATATTGTATATGTATATCAGTTAGATAATTATATATATGTAACTACTGTGCATATGCATCAATGATTGTATTTATATATTTGCATAAAATTTGAATTTGTATATGATTCAGTTGAGTTAAAACATTTTTATTTGTATGTCAAATCTCTCTTGCGCTTTCAAAAATTATACATTTTATTTTGTATAATTAGTGTTTGATATAAAGAGAGAGAGAGAGATTTGCATATTATTTGTATATACAATCTCTCTCGCTTTATACAAATATAAATACAATTTATATATTTGTATTTGTATAAAGTGAAAGAGACGATGGAGAGTAGCGAGCGAGATTAAAAAAGAGTGGCGAACGAGATATGCCGTAAATTAGAATTAAATGAAACTGTCATTATAACATTTATTTTGAATAAATAATTTTGATATAATACACAATTTTCTTAAAAAGCAACGAGATAATGTAGCGTAGAGTTTCAAATCTAATGTTCCCTCCTTTACTTACTCCCCTCCAACTCATTCATAAGTTAATTATCACTCAGCTATATTTTACTGAAATAACATTATAAGATTGATTTTGAAAACACATTCAACTTTACTCAAATATACATAGAAGTCAATATATATATATATAACTTTGCTAAATATCTCAATTAGTCACTAAACAATTCTCTTGTAACCAAACGTCATTCAACATTGCTAATCTTTTTATTCCTCCTAATGACTTCCTATATTTAAATAAATAAAGTTGAGTATATATAAAAAATAATTTAATGATTTATAATTGTATATAATATAGTATATACAGTTTACGCGTACGGCTGTCTACTTGTCTCCGGCTACTACCACATAAAAGTCAAACTCCAATTTTAAGGACATTATGGTAAATTCATTATCCACTTCGATTTTATAATCCCAACTGTTTCAAAATCTTATTTTTGTACAAGTTTTTCCGTCTCTTTCTGAAGAGTAAAAACAGTTATTCCATTTCTAATTTCAAGCAAGTGTTGTTCTTTCTTGTTTTTCACTAAAAATTATTACTTTATTGAATGCTTTTTTCAAGCAAAGAAATTTTTTGAGCCGTAAGTTTCCAAGAATTTTCTTTCTCATCATATTATGTCCGATCTGTCAGTTACTTTCTCTCAAAGCCACTGCTTTTGTCCCTTTATAAGAGGTACTACAACATTTCCTCAACTCATTGTATTCCTTTTTGTCACTTCTTGATTTTGGGATTTATGGTTGTTGCTTCCTTGCAATTGCTAAAGTTTCAATCTTTTTTCTTTTATTTTTTCATGTGGGTACTGTATTAATGACATGATCTGTTTTGATTCTTCTTTATGTGACCGTTATTCTTGTTGTATATGTATAAAGTTGTTTGCTTTGCATGTTTTTTAGTTTCCATATTGCTGTATACAAGTTTGTCGGGTTGTCGATTTTGTTCCTTGATACTTTAATGCTGCTTGGATGGCGTCCCTGTTTTGCTTTTAATTTACTCGTGGTTCACAATTTGTTAGGTCTGTCATAAAAGCTGTCAATTAAAACTCAGTAGAGTTGTAGTTGGAGACACCCCACAAAGTTAGGGTAATGTCTGTGTACCTCATACCCTCCTTCTCCGGACTTATCCTGGGTATGTTGTTGTTATGGTAGTGTTTCTAGTTGGAACTTGTTTTTTTTTTTTTTTTACCTATTATTATGTGAATTTTCTGTTATTTGGTCTTCATGTTTGCTCTGTGTGTTATTTGGTTAGGGCAAAGTCTAATGATATAGTTTCTAGCTTCAGTGATGTTAATTTAGCTTTCCTTCTCTATTATTTTTGCTTAAATTTTATGGTTTTAGTTTTGCACACTAATAATACTACTCCCTCTGTCCAATTTTAAATGGAGCAATTGGAATTTTGAGATTCAAACTTATAAAATTTCAGTGTGATTTTTTTTATATGGCAATTTCAGTGTGAATTCAAATATAGAAGTTTTAAGTTTTTTGAAAATGAAATTTGTATATCTGAAAGCTACTCACAAGTACTAAAATAAATCACAATAATTAACAATTTAAAATATTTAATTGGCATATAAAGAAATTCCGGTTAAAGAAAAACTTGTTTGACTCTCAAAATTCCAATTGTGCCACATAAATTGGGATGGATGGAGTATATTAGTACTTCTAAGCTCAAACTGTTAATACTTGTATCTCTTTTCAGGGAATGAGATTATTGAACATAATTTCTGTGGAATTTAAGTTAAGACTGAGGATTTGATTTGCGATGGAAGAAAAACCATTCCCTGCCTGGTCCTGGTCTGTTGATCAGTGTCTGAAAGAGTACCAAGTAAAATTAGAGAAGGGTCTAAGCACTTATGAAGTAGACAAGAGGCGAGAAAGATATGGTTTGAATGAACTTGAGAAAGAAAAGGGGAAGCCGTTGTGGAGGCTTGTTTTGGAGCAGTTTGATGATACGCTTGTCAAAATCCTCCTTGGTGCAGCCTTCATCTCATTTGTTCTAGCTTATGTGAATCAGGATGAGACTGGAGAGTCAGGGTTCGAGGCCTATGTAGAACCCTTAGTAATCCTCTGGATCTTAGTACTCAATGCAATCGTCGGAGTTTGGCAAGAAAGCAATGCTGAGAAAGCACTGGAAGCATTAAAAGAGATGCAAGGTGAGTCTGCAAAGGTACTCAGAGATGGATATTTAGTACCGGATTTTCCAGCAAAGGAGCTTGTTCCTGGGGATATTGTGGAACTGCGAGTTGGTGACAAAGTGCCAGCTGATATGAGAGTTGCCACTTTAAAATCCTCAACCCTAAGGGTTGAACAAAGTTCTTTGACAGGGGAGTCGATGCCAGTTACTAAAAGCACCGATTTCCTTGCTACGGATGATTGTGAATTGCAGGCCAAAGAGAACATGGTTTTTGCTGGGACAACAGTTGTGAATGGTAGCTGCATCTGCATTGTTGTGAACACGGGGATGTGCACAGAAATTGGTAAGATTCAAAGACAAATCCATGATGCGTCCATGGAAGAAAGTGACACCCCTTTGAAGAAGAAGCTTGATGAATTTGGTAATAGGCTTACATTTGCCATTGGCGTTGTTTGCTTAGTTGTGTGGGCAATCAACTACAAATATTTTCTTTCCTGGGAGGTTGTGGATGACTGGCCTTCTGATTTCCGTTTCTCATTTGAGAAATGCGCATATTATTTCAAGATAGCTGTTGCTCTTGCGGTGGCTGCAATTCCTGAAGGTCTCCCTTCTGTAATCACTACTTGCTTAGCTCTTGGTACTAGGAAAATGGCACAAAAAAACGCGATAGTGAGGAAACTACAAAGCGTGGAAACCTTAGGATGCACAACTGTGATATGTTCAGATAAAACAGGAACCTTGACTACCAATCAGATGTCTGTGTCAGAATTCTTCACATTGGGAAGGAAAACTACAGCCTGTCGAGTTTTTGGCGTTGAAGGGACAACTTATGATCCTAAGGATGGGGGAATAATGAACTGGAATTGTTGCAAAATGGATGCTAACTTGCTACTTATGGCTGAAATATGTGCAATCTGCAATGATGCTGGGGTCTTCTGTGATGGTCGTCTGTTCAAAGCAACTGGACTGCCTACTGAGGCAGCTCTTAAAGTTTTGGTGGAAAAGATGGGAGTACCAGATAGCAAAGCAAGGTGCAAGATCCGCGACGCTCAGATTGTATCGAGCTATTTGATTGATCGCAACACAGTTAAATTAGGTGAGCATAGCTTTACTTCACTCATCTATCTATGTGCTACTATTTTCAAAAACCAATGTATTGAGATTTTTTAAAATATAGGATGCTGTGATTGGTGGATGAAAAGATCAAAAAGGGTTGCAACATTGGAATTTGATCGTGTTCGGAAATCCATGGGTGTTATTGTGCGGGAGCCAAATGGGAGCAATCGACTTCTTGTCAAGGTTGTTTCATGTCCTTTATGGTACATCAATTAATAGTGATGGAGTCAAGTTTAATTGCATATTTCTATTTGTATAACCAGTTTCTGGACTACATTAAACACTAGAGATAATTTCTCTTTAAAATATTTTTTTTCTTTGTCTGTCGGCCTTGATATACTCAGTTTTCTGGAAAAATTGTTATTTTGAGTCTTATTCGAGTAATTTTGCTGGCGTTCTGTAAGCTGAGTACACCTAGGAAATTTCAATTGGCTAGCAACTGAGTCTGTATTATCTTCATCTATAAGAGTAGGTTCAATGTGGTTCCTTTCCAAGATGCTGTGGCAGTTTAACTGCTTTTTAACATTCTCCTGTTCCCAAAAGTGGAAATATGGGCATCAACAGTTCGTCAACGGTCTTCAGTCTCCAAACATGAAAAGTAGACATCAACAGTTTGTAGTGTTGTCTTTTCTGCAAAAAATGCTTCTGTGTAGTTAGTTCCACAACAAAGTCATTTAGCTCTAGGAAATGCTTACGTTTTCTCTGATGATGTTGAACTTACCACTTGTTCAGAAGTTGAACTTGGTAATCTGTTGACGTCTGATTACAACTTGTTTTGTCTAGGGTGCTTTTGAGAGTTTGCTAGAACGTAGTACATATGTTCAACTTGCCGATGGATCAACTGTTCCGCTTGACGAGTCTTGTAGACAACTATTGTTGTTGAAGCAATTGGAGATGAGCTCAAAGGGTCTGCGGTGCTTGGGCTTGGCATATAAAGATGACTTAGGTGAGCTTTCTGGATACTATGCTGCGACTCATCCTGCCCACAAGAAGCTGCTTGATCCATCCTGCTACTCCTCCATAGAAAGTGATCTAGTTTTTGTGGGAGTTGTTGGTCTAAGGGTAAGTAGGTTTAAGTTTCCAAGAATAATGAATGACTATCTAGAAAACCTTCATTTTTCCTTACCTTTTGACTAAATGACTGAAATGCAGGACCCCCCACGTGAGGAAGTTCACAGGGCAGTAAATGACTGCAGAAGAGCTGGGATCAAAATCATGGTTATAACTGGAGACAATAAATCCACAGCTGAGGCCGTTTGCAGGGAAATTCAGTTGTTTTCTAATGGTGAGAATCTTAGGGGAAGTAGTTTTACTGGCAAAGAATTCATGGCATTTTCCTCTCAGCAACAAATTGAGATATTGTCACAAGATGGAGGCAAGGTCTTTTCTCGTGCTGAACCCAGGCACAAACAAGAAATTGTAAGGATGCTGAAGGAGATGGGTGAAATAGTTGCAATGACTGGAGATGGTGTCAATGATGCACCTGCACTAAAACTTGCTGACATTGGAATAGCCATGGGTATTACAGGAACTGAGGTAAAAATAAACTTTTCCTGTTTGGTCATTACAACACATCTTCTGAATTGTTATATAAGTGCTCTCACTCCAATTATTTAACCATGTAATACCTAAAAATACACTCTTGAAATAGGAGAGTAGTGAGGTCTTCTGAGGGAATGGTCGACAGCTGTGGCACTAAGTTTATTATCTAAATCTCTAGAAGTACCCATGAGTGTGCACCTTGCATGCAATTTTTTCCTGAATATGTTTAACTTATTGATCAAAATTAATTAATTAGCTGATCAAAGATTTAAATGTTTAGGTTGCAAAAGAAGCTTCTGATATGGTTCTGGCGGATGACAATTTCAGTACTATAGTCTCTGCTGTTGCAGAGGGACGTTCGATCTACAATAACATGAAGGCCTTCATCAGGTTAGTCTTATATTTCTGGTATTGAATATGTGATTATTCCTAGAATTGGTCATGCACTTCTTTCACTTAATTTCATTTGTGTTCCTGCTGATGCAGATATATGATATCATCTAACGTCGGTGAAGTCATCTCCATTTTCTTGACTGCTGTTTTGGGCATACCAGAATGTTTGATACCTGTGCAGTTGCTCTGGGTAAATTTGGTAACAGATGGCCCACCTGCTACAGCTCTCGGATTTAACCCTGCTGATGTTGACATAATGCAGAAACCACCTAGGAAGAACACTGATGCTCTCATAAACTCCTGGGTTTTCTTCCGCTATATGGTCAGTTTGGATAGCTATTTCTTATTCTTCGATGTGTATTACTATATGTTGCTGCATTTGTTTTGTATCTTGCTTCTTTGCTGTCTCTTTTCTTACAATCCTGCATCGGATACTGCCCTTTTGAGCCGAGGGTCTTACATTCTGATTCCTGAGATAATTTTCAGGTCATTGGTTCTTACGTGGGCATTGCAACTGTCGGTATATTTATAGTGTGGTACACCCAGGCTTCTTTCCTTGGTATTAATATTGTGAGTGATGGCCACACGCTTGTTGAACTATCACAGCTTCGCAACTGGGGTGAATGCTCAACATGGACAAATTTTACCGTGAGTCCATTCAAGGCTGGTAATCGCCTGATTACCTTTTCTGACCCTTGTGAGTATTTTACTGTTGGTAAAGTGAAGGCCATGACACTGTCACTCTCTGTCCTGGTGGCAATTGAGATGTTTAATTCTCTCAATGCCCTATCTGAAGACAACAGCTTGATCAAAATGCCACCTTGGAGAAATCCTTGGCTTCTTGTTGCAATGTCACTCTCGTTTGCCCTACATAGCGTGATACTCTATGTTCCTTTCCTAGCAGATATATTTGGTATTGTCCCACTAAGCCTTTATGAATGGCTTCTAGTCATCTTGCTTTCTGCACCTGTTATTCTTATTGATGAAGTCCTCAAGTTTGTCGGCAGGAGAAGAAGAAGAACTAAACTAAAAGCTGCATAATGTATTCTTCTAGGATATGCTCGATTTTACTATTGATTAAAAGGAGGTTTGATTAAATGTATATTGTTCAGAAATGAAAAATCTATTTCGGGTTATAGTTTTTGAGGAACTTGGAGGCTAGCTATATAGCTTTTGATCACATGCCTTGGAAGGCTGCTTGTTAACATAAAATCCAAGGTTCCTGAAGCAAAACCTGTTGTTTTTTTCCCCGATCCTTTCTAGGAGGGGTTTCATGTATTATAAGTTCTAGTTTGTATTATTCATTTATTGAATCTGCTATCTTACCGTAGATTTTGATGAACTTAAAACACACCTTTTTCTAAATTTGGTGCTTGAAGTTATATATCCTCAATGAGTGTTATTGTTGCTGTTGTTATCTTTTTTCCTTTTCTGAGGGGTGGGGGACTGGCTATTAGTGATCACAACCAGGAGGGAGTTAATTACATTAGTCTTGTGTAATTCGAGTTGGTGAAGGAGGAATAAGTCTAGAAAGAATAGGAAGGAGAGAAATGTAGGTCCAAAAACTATTCAGAGTTATTGCTAAAACTCTATTCAGCAATAGAATCCAAATCAATTTCCATGGTGCTTACATCAAACTTTAATCTAGTTGTGACTAAATCAAGCAGTGAATATATCTCATTTGATTTTGGATGGGATTTATCCTCTACTATAAACTTATGAATATCACCTCCCTCCTCAATGAAGCTATACCCTGCTGCTTTTGTAATCTGAGAGGACTTCATCAGTTTCCTTAACCTTGCCACACCATCCCACCGGCCAGCTCTTGCATAGATGTTTGAGAGAATAACATAATTCCCAGGATTCCACGGTTCCAACACAGAAAGGAATTCGGCTGCTTTCTCAGCCAATTCAACATTGCCATAGAAACTGCAGGCTCCAAGAATAGTTCCCCATATGACACAATCAGGTCTCATTGGCATGCTCTGTATAAGATCATAGGCTTCTTGCAATTTCCCAGCCCGGCCTAAGAGATCAACCATACAGCCATAGTGTTCCAACTTTGGAGCTATGGAGAACCTTTGCTCCATCAATTTGAGGAGTTCCCAGCCCTTTGCTACCATGCCTCCATGTGTGCATGCTAAGATTGCTCCTACAAATGTTACATCATCAGGTGTGTTTCCTTCTCCCTGTGTCAATAGCAGGACAATCATGTAACTTCCACTGTAAAAAATCATTCTTGCTGCTGTAATTGATGTTCATAGGCATAACAACGGCAAATAAGAACAAAGAGAATATTTGCGAAGGCTTACCAGCATTTGATTGAAAAGCTTAAGAGCTTCATCACCTTTTCCATGGACAGCTAACCCCATAATCATGGTATTCCAAGAACACAAGTTCCTCCTCCTACCAATCTCGTGAAAGAGTTGCATTGCCCTATCAATTCTACCACATTTCGTATACATTTCAAGCACCGCATTGCAAACAAACATATTCTTAAAGTATCCATTTGCTCTTGCATAAGCTTCAATATTCTCCCCAACCTCCAGCGCCCCAAGATTTGCACAAGCTGGAAGAACACTAGCAATTGTGACTTCATTAGGCTTTACCTTTCTGTCTTTCTCCATTTGCTTGTAGACAGCTAGTGCATTTGCATACTTCCCATTTTGCGAGTAGCCTGAGATCATTGCAGTCCAGGAAATCACATTCCTTGAAGGCATAACTGAAAACAATTTGAAAGCTTCCACCACATTTCCATTCTTGGCATACCCGGCAATCAAAGAATTCCAAATGGGGACATCCTTCATTTCCATCTCATCAAAGAGCTTCCGCGCAGAAGGCAACAAACTCATTTTAGCATACATGTCAACAAGTGCAGTTAACGTGTAAATGTCAAATTCAAACCCCCATTTGATGAAATGGACATGGAACATTTGGCCTTGAATGGGGGTGGAACGATTGGAGCACGCTGCAAAGAGAAATGTGAAGGAGTGTGGGTTAGGGGAGCAGCCTTGCCGGCGCATCTTGATGTAGAGAGAAAAACACTGGCTGGGAAATCCATGGGAAGAATATGCCTGAATAAGCTTGTTGTAGAGGAAGACAGTTGGTTTAGTAATATTGTCGAACACTTTGTGGGCGTACGGGATGTTTGGGATTTCAATTATCTTAGAGATCAAGAACTGTGTAAAATCGATGCCATTTCGGAGAGTGTTGGCGTGTATTTGTTTCAGTTGGTTCATAAGAAGTGTTTGATGCAAAAATCTATCTGATAAGTGTCTTTTTGAACAATTCAAAATAATGAAAAAACAAAGATTTACCTTAAAATGTTGGTATTTGAGACGACTTGGTTCCAAACAACCCTCCCAAAGACCAAAATGATTTTTTAATGAACATTATTTAATTATTCTGGAAACATAGGTGGAATTTTATAGTAGATCTTAACTTGTTTGGGATTGAAGCGTAGTTATTCTTGTTGGAACAATGACCGACAAGATGTGGACAAGTGACTTTGATATAACAACTATATCTTAATTCGATAGTAAGTTTGGGATAGATTATATGAATTCTAAGTTACCATGTGCTAATTTCCATACTATGTATTGCGAAGATTCTGACTAGTCTTACTGTGGTTGTTAGACTAGTGCAACCCCATCTTTGGGCTCAGACCAATAAATGTTAGCAAGTTCATGGAGTTGAAATACTGGATTTGATATAGCGAAAATTTGTATATCGAAATATTGTTCAAATTTAGTAAAGTAAATCAATAAGCTGACCTACAACTACATATAGTGAAATTCAAACATGAGTGGAATGCTAGCTGATGAACAACATTCAAAAGAAATGATATGGAAATGCTAAAAGAGAAAAAAACTGCCAGTTTAGCGAGGATCCCGTCGTCAAAGCTCATCACAACCAAGCGTCAGAAGAAACAAAAGAATCAATAAGCTATTACTTTGATCAGTAAACAATTCAGAATATATTACAGCTGAATCAATTGGCTATGACTAATGAATTCCATTACATATTTTACAACAAGGACTTGAGTAACCGCTCTATCATGGGAGGTCAGCCCAAATTGCTTGTTTCCCACTGACACATACATCAGGTTTTATCAATGATAAAGAATCAAAGTATTTGATTGTTACTCAACCCCTATTCTTAAGAATGCAAGAATTTCAAAAGAAAAAAAAATTATATTACCAGTGGTTCCTGAATGTTCACCGCGATTGTCAGAAAGCACCACAAGATATCAGATGTAAGGGCTTTGCATTTCACTTAAACCAGGGCTACCATGCAATCTTCAGTCACTCAAACTCTTGCCTTCCTAACTGAGGTTCTTTCTCATAAAGCTGGGGTTTTATGCCTAAGACAGACATACCTTGCTCTAGTCGCAGCCTTACTCTAACCAATTTCTTCATCTAATTGCACTGTGTGGGTCTTCAAGGATCGTGGCTCTGCCTTAGAAATAAGAGGACTGGTCATGAAGCACATTCAACTGAGCAAGTACCTTTGCTGCTACAGATTTGATGTTGCTAGTTCCTCGTTGTGTCAAGTCAACTAAAGGCATGTGAGCAGACGATCCATACCTCTGCTTGTATTCCACCAACCTAAAAAGTCTTTCTAATGAATTCAGAACCTTTTCTTGCAGTCTAGGGGAAGGACTATTAAGTAGCTTTATCATTGATGGTATGGCATTTTCTTCAGCAAGAACTTTAGCACCACTTTGAAGTTTTTCATCCTTAATTAAAGTCAATAAGGCATCCAAAGAAGCTTCACAGGCTCCAGGATCGGTATCCCCAAGAACCCTCACCAGAGGTCCCACGGCGCCAGCCTCTACCAAACAAAATGAAGTTTCTAGTGTGCATATCCCTCGATGAATAGGGCAAAGTTCTACTTGTGAAGGTGAGAAACACCATAACCCCGAACGCTTTGGAATTGTACGACTCAGTGTTTGTGAATTCTCTGAAAGCTGTGCAAGACAAATTGCCGCTCGGTTTTTTGTCAAGCTTGTTCCCTGGTCTAGCAGTCGTATCAGCTTGGGAACAAGGCCAGCTATCCTCTGTGTTTGTTGGTTTATTGAGACTGTGAAATGACATAATGTCCCGACAGCATTTTCTACCAGTTGAAGCTTACAGGAACTCTTATGCTTTACCTCATCAAGAAATTTGGAAAAGACTGGAAGTCCTTCCGCTGCAAAAAGCCAGTCAGAGATTTGAGAAGATTTGGGAAGGTTGGAGGTAATCCCCATTGCAGAAGCAATCTCTTCTTCATCCTGTGAAGTCTTGATGATCTTAAGTAATATTTCAATGAAGTTTTGATCCACGTACTCCTGGATCACACCTCCATTACCATTTTCAATCAAGCAACATAATAATTTGATTGCATCTGACCGTACATTTGAATTGCTATGCTCACAGAACTGCATTAGCACTTGGACAGCTGAGCACTGTGGATGCAACATTCTCAGTATTGAGTAGGAAATAAATTAAAAAAACAAGATATAAAATACTAAAGGAGCCACCATCAACAGCAAAGCTACCACCATTTTGAGTGGGAAGCATACAGATAGCAGAAAATGTATCGAGGGTAGTGCACAACTTACACGCTAATGTGTACACATTCAGGGCGGTGCATAAGTGGGTTTGTGTTAACTATATTTTAGTATGAAAAAGTAGAGTAACAATTAAGTTTTTCAATTCAGGAAGTGGTCAGCTTTGGAATTATGATGTAAACCCCACGTTTGCAAGAATGGGTCTATCTCAGACCACACCCTTCCATTCAAATGAAGGAAGTCATCAAGATCCTAGTTCAATTTTGCGAGAGTAGAAACGAGTTGCCGATATTCTCTGATTGACAAAACTAAAGAAAAGAACAGAAAACAATTTTACATATTGCAGGTTCAGAGCTTTTGAAGGGTATTTTTTTTTATAGAAGTCATGAAATATTTTTGTAGAAATATCCAAAAATCCTTTAGTATTGACGAGCTTGACAGCAGGAGCATCAAACAGTAAATGAGTAGTAAGAAACATAACGTAATCATATAAAACTGTAACAGTCTGTCAGTCGTTATGGCTAAGCATGAGTTTTGTGTCACTTTCCACAGAAAGTAATTCTATGTAGCTGTCTCATGATATTTTGCTTATTACAAGTCTCAAAACAGGTGCATCTCATATGCAAGTTTCAAGAAGGATGTATACTAGTAACTCAGTTAAATCCAAAAAACAAGTTTTAGTTACCACATCTGTTGCTGCTTACTTAATGGGTGAATTTATTTGGGTAAAAGTAGATTTCTTGATGATGATACATGCTATTACTCAGAAATACTATTTCTTTTCTAAGAGGGGAATACCTGTGCTAGCTTGATCTTGACATTAGCGCCAGATGGAGACTTGCACATGGCGCAGAAAGCTTGGAGTATGCTTTGCTGCACAGCTGGGCCATTCAAGTTTACTAGGGAAAAGAGTTCATAAACATCTTCATCAGCATCAAGCAGTGAAAGCGCTTCACTGCTTGCAGAGAAGGCAAGATTTGTAATAGTGGCTGCTACCAGTTCTCGCAGACTTTGGGAAGCTGTGTGACGGTACAACATATCAAGCAGTGGACGCATAACACCTTTTCTGATCATATCCTGTCCATTTCTTGGTAAACTAGAGAGGTTTAGAAGAGCTTTCACTCCTGCTTGTTTCACTTCAACTTCACTGTGTGATAACGAGGAAAGAAGGGAATCTAGAACTCCTTCCTCAAATAGAGATGACTTATTATGATCTGTCAACTCCATCTCTCCTAAGGTTTTTGCCATTAGGAGCTTCACATCACTGGATCCTGTCAGGTAAGGAGAAGATAATTAATGGTAATGATTTAGTACTCCATAAGCAAATATTAGAGCAGACTCTAATACAAGAAGCTGTTGAATGTAAATTTAGCTCCTCTACTGAATTGTGTGTCCAAATATCTACATTGAATTCTTCTGTCATCACTCCTATCAGTGGACATAACTGTAAGATTTTGCTAAATGTATTGGGCACTTTGCGCTTTGGCAACATTATATTGAAAAAAGAAAAGCAGATGTGCAGTTGACAAACTTGTAACTGATACTCTACTACCATTACAAAGAAATAGAGAATTCATCCATGCTCAATAACAAGAGTGGAACCATTCGAACCAAAAAGGAATCATTCTGACACAGCTTATATGAGTTATATGTATACATTTGTTAAGAGCAGGAGAACTTTACAATATAAAATTGCCAAGAAGTACATTAGGAGGCATTACGAACTCAAGTTTGTGCCACAGGAACTATTTATAATATTACAATAAACCCAGTTTGGGAAAGGTGGTATGTACGAAGGCTTTACCCCTATCTTGTGATAGAGAGGTTGTTCATGATAGACCCTCGTCTCAAGTAAAGGCATGAAAAGGAAATACATTAATGAAGAAGCCATGATGGAAATAATGGAGAAAAGAACAGTAGTAACAACAAATAGTATGATAATCAAAGCAAAGAGAAAAACATGTATAAAAAATGGAAGAATAAGTCAATACTGGATAACAGTGTTAAAGAAACTATTTGTAATATTGTCGACTGTAAACTATACAATTTCAAAGATCTACCGTGCCGCACAACATTACATAAGTAATAATGCTATTGGTTTGATGCTGAATATTTTTCTGGTGCCATCCTCCATTAAATTGCCTGAGTATATCACAATGTGTAAGGATTCCAAATTTAAACAAAGAAAAGAAAAAACTGTTCTCATCAATATCCCAGATCTTGGTAATTAACGACATGCGAACTGAGAAAGATCCGGCAACTCCGACAAACTTAACCATTCTCAGGTTTCTATAATTCATCAAGTTATTCAAACCAAAAACTAAGAACCCACATCAGAAAAGTGTCGGGGTTCTTAAAGGTCAAAGAAGGCAATATGATTGAGAAACTAACCTGAAGAAAGGCGTTGCAACAAGTACTTGAAATAGTTAGCCTGGGCCATCAGGATAACATTGTCATCAGAAAATGAAATGTTCTCCAAAACGTCTCTTGCATCTTTGGCAGCTTTGTTGTCATCACAGCTTGACATAGTAACTAACAGAAGTATGCAACCTTGAACCTTCCCAATGGACTCCTGAACAGACTTGCATTTTGACAATTCCAGTAACAATGCTACTGCTGACTTCCTTTCACCAATGCGACGTCCAAGTGAGTGAACAATAGATTCCAATGCATTATCAACTTCAACAATTCTTTCCTGCAATTCACTTAGTGTGAGAGCCTTTAACAACTCATTAAAACTATCAAGTTTGCAGGTATGTGATATTATACTCTGCGCGTGATAATAAATAATTGATTCTGATTATACCATATTCAAATAATTGATTCTGATTATACCATATTCCAAATAATTGATTCTGATTATAACATATTCCAAAATAATTCATATATGCAAGTAAATGACTTCATGCCCATTTAGTTGACGTTGTATTGGATCTAGTTCCAGTCTGGGCGAGGAGCATGACATTTCAACATCACGCGTCTGAAACCATAAGTATATATAGGAAAAATACAGAAATGCGGGGGTCCGGTTCAGGGGAAATACAAATACATACTACTGGAGAAACATACTCTCTCAAGGGTGTTAATTGCTCAGAGGTTTGAACTACCAAAGTTTGC